TAGCCTTTGAGAGCACACTAACTTAGTGTAGTGACATAGTCATTGTGTGGATAGAGACTATAGAAACTAGAATTATGGTAGGTGGCTTACATTTTTAGTAGGCTAGCGCAACACTCGCTTCGTCTCATATTTGTTTAACCAGTTTGCTAAGTGTTATTGTAGAAATTTTTAATAGGTTATTCACCCCCCTCTAGCCATTAGGACCTTTCAGCAAGTAATTGCCACGTCATCGGTCCGTGTCACGACCTCATCTCGTCCCTTGATTCGAACCGACTTGGAAGCACGGTGGAGATTGATCCTCATAGGCGGTGGAGAGTCCACGTTAAAGGGGAGCCTGACAGGTGGGGCCCACAGCCCCCCCCCCCTCAGCGTATCACCCCGATCTTTGGCGGTAAGTCTTGGATAATTATCTTGAAGCCCTTTTTGGTTGAGTCTGTCGCATATCATCAAAATTACTTCACGTGTTATGTCTCGTTTTGGCCCGTAGAATGGCTAAATTCACCTGTATGCAAATATTCATCAAGACTTGTGGAATTCGTTAGTTTAAAGCTTCTAAATCTATGGAAATGTTTGATTTTAAGAATTTGAGCAGGTAAAATTGTCGATTTATTTTGGCGGTAGAGACCGTCAACATAGGGCTGGGTCTGAACTAAACCCATAGCGAAATTAATTAAAAGTAATTACCTAGTTGCTTTAATACTCGTGCAAATCTTTTGAAGAGGACCACCGAAGCAAAACTCCTTTCTTAATCAGATTGCATTTTAAAAGTTTGATTCAGGAATCTAAAATAGCTACTAAAAGGTTGTTGCGATTATATAAAAATATATATGACTTATATTTATGTTTTTTTTAAAATATTGTAATTATATTCATCTAATTTATGTTTTATCGGTTTTCTATCAAATAGCAACAAAATTGTATACAATATGGTACTCATGATTGATCTTGGCTACATACGAAACATTAAAAAATATCTTTTAACCGTCTGTCTCGAGATTCTAAGAACTTACAACAAGAGGTTGTCTTTGGGTTGGAGGTTGGTTGGCCAATAGCCCGATATTTATCATAAGCCATGAGGCGTGGCGCTGTTGCTCTTGAACCTCGTGCTGTTGGTGCAGTCAGGTTTCAGCAACCTGCCATTTTCGCATTTGAAAGTATCTGAAAAATTCCATTTATTAGGACTGACTGATAAAACCAAACTTCACTTTTTTTGAGAAAACGTCTACCGAGGGTTAACTAAAAGAAAAAAAAAGAAAAATACAAACAGGGCAGAAAGAATGCAAACGTACCCGATTTCAGATGGATCTTTCAGCCCAACGGCCGGAAACCATCCGGCCTCCGGCCCACCCTTCCGATCGGAATCGCCAAAACCGCATGGCTGGGCCCCTCTTCCTCCGCTGCTCCTCAATCCTCCCCAGCTGAACACGGTGATGGTCTCGATAACCGATCATATAAAGGGAAACTATTCTAGTTTTATAAACATCCTCAGAAATTTATCAATAACTAAAAGGATGTTTATTAGAATGCCCACATAAAAAACAAAACACTGACAAGTCCATGAACCATGGATTGGCGGTGTGGTGTGTGAGCGGTACACCATGGACCGAGTCCATGCTGAAGGGTATGGGTCCTTGTATTTTCAATGTATTTCCTCTTTTATTCTTTTGAAAAAAAAACGGTAAGAAAGTGTGGACATGTCATCCTGATGTCATCAAGCTAATAAGCTAGGAACGCTCGTGCAAAGCAGAGCACGGAACAGAGCACGACCGGTGCTCGACGACCATTTCCCAGCAACGCGAGCTTGCGGTTGCGCAGTATGCCTTGCGCGCACGCGTGGAGAAGGAGTGCAGGGGTGCGGGGAAGCTCACCTACGGCTTACCAAGGGCGGAGGAGCAAGGCTGGGACTGGCTGTTCCCGGAGCGAGCTCACGCCTGGCAATGGTGGTGCGGCGCAGGAGTTCACGGGCGTGATGCTTGTGTTGCTCAGCTGGTAGTGGTGGGCTGGTGGTTCACGCTAAGGAGCTAAGCCGCTCGCCATGATCACCGATCTATTGCAGGCTCCGTGGACTGCAGGTGGCGAGATCAACGATCTGTTGCAACGGACATCGGAGCGACGTCCTGATTCCGCGTGCCTGGCGTGTGTCAGCGGCGGTGGAGACCTGAGCCCGCGGCGGCGCAAAGCAGCAGCGTCAGTGGGGAAGGCGCGGCACCACGAAGACTTGAGCGAGGCGATTCGGCGATGGCTCCGCTGGTTGTCGTCGTCCGTGTGCTTCTGCTAGGATTAGCCGTGGTCGTCTTCGCCCACGTGCTGTTGTTAGGATTTATGTTTGGGTGTTTCGTTTCGCATAGCTGGAAGGGAAGACAGATGGGGATATAGGTCCTGGTGACGTACCTGGTGGGTGCTCATCGCTAGCTTGGCGTCGTGACAGGGTACGCCAGCGTCAGCGGGCAGGGCGGCGAGGTGACGGGCGCTCCAGCGGCGTCGAGGCGACAGGGACAAGACAGGGCGTCAGACGGGGCCGGTACAGGGCAGGACGTGGATAGGGCGCGATTGAACGATGGCGTTGATCGGCGGATTGCGTGTGCGATGGCGAAGGTGGCGCGGGGGCCAGGCACGAGGAGGTGAGGACGCGGTGTCGTGCGACTGCAGAGTGCCAGGGAGGTCGCGGTGCAGGTGACGACGCGGTCTCGCGTGATTGGCGGCATGGGGTGATCGCGGAATTGATCACGATTGTTACGGGAATTGAATTTTGCTTTCCTAATTTACTGCGGCTGTTATGGGGATTGGGCTGATCGTATGGAGCACGTGCGCGTTGCCTTCCTAATCTGATCACTCCACGATTGTTACGGAATAGTTATGAATATTTTAGTTGTAGAGATAAACCTACACTATGCATCGACAAATGTAATCTTCGTTTGGTGTTTCATACTAGTATATTCCAAAAGTTCTTCTGCAAAAGCTCTGTGGCTGAGATCATAATGCTAATGTTACAGACAGGAGAAGCAAAGTCCTGAAATCGCTAGTGTGACAGGTACTACTGACCATGAAATCCAAGCGATCATTTCTCAAGTCGACTTCGAAACGGAGGATCTTCACATTTGGATACGTCGTGGCAAGTTCTCACACGTGGTTCTATGTGCGTGGCAAAAACAGTGTATCTACATGGATCAAAGACACACTATCACTGAGGATACAGATTCTCTAAAAAAACATTTTTTGTGATGAATGAGAATTACTTTGTGAAATCGTTTGGCTAGTAGGTTGAATTCTAATAAAAATATATATTTTTATAAAAAATCATATAAATAAAAATATTCTTTAAAAAAATTTAGAACTTTTTTTTTTGTAGGTGAAGAATAACTAAAATACAATATATTTTAACCTATTTCACTTAAAAGGAACTAACTAGAAAAATTATGGTTGCTAATACAGAAGGGGGGCAAGAATCACAATCACGCGAAACCAGAGCCAATAGACGTTTCTCCTTGCTACGCATAAAAACAAGAAACGTTTCTAGTGATTCTCGAGTGAAACGTTTCTCATCTAACCCGTTTGGCAGTGATTCTACCAATTCTCACAAGAATCCAAAATGTTTCTAGTTGCCAAACCGGGGGCTCAAGTCAATTTAAATAGGTGGACATATGCGCGCACATGTTGTGAGTTCAATAAACAGAAAGCGAGACACACGTCCGCACACATGTTGTGACGCAAATGTGCTCGGGTATCTAAGCCATGACATGAGTGGTTCGGTGCAAAAAAAAATGTTTTGTAGCTCTAAACTTAAAAGCGAGAAGGATGGGAGTAATGGACGGTACCACGAAGAAGTGATAAGACCAGATTCAGAGGATGAGAAAATGGTGAGAATGAAGGACAAAAAAAAAGTACAAGAGTAAAGAGCAGCGAACTGATGGGTGAAAGAGAAATGAGTGATAGATAAACGAAAGAGAGTGGAAAACAAAATAAACAAATTTTCGCTATGTAATATTAGTTATAGATATAGATAATACAAACTTCATAAGTTTTCCCCTGGTCTTCCGTCACTTAATCTTTCAATTTGGCTCTCGCAGATGTTTACACACCTACATGTTGAGGTATGCCTGTCCAGCTGGTATTGCTGAGCAAATGTTTACACACCCACGTCATGCTACTTCTGTCTTTCCTGTTGCAAAACAATGCAGCGATAACCGATGGACAAGCAGTTGCGGCTGGGGAGTAGTCCAGCCGGACAGGCATACATCAACATGTAGGTGTGTAAACATTTGCGAGAACCAAATTGAAAGATGAAGTGACAACTACACCAGCTTATCCACTACGCATACGCATCGAGCATCTAGCGTTTACCACGTCACATCATCTAATCTAATCTAAAAAAACTCGGTCGGAGGGTCTAACATCACTCTCAGAATAGGAGGAAATGTGAACATTTTTCTTTTCTTTTTCTACAACGCTTTTAAGATAATATAGCCCCGTTCGTTGGGCTGTTGGTTGAAACTAGCTGGTTGTGGGAGAGAGATAAAATATGAGAGGAAGCAGCCGGCTGATCTGGAACTTCCGGACCAGCGAAGGGCGCCTATGTCAATATTTTACAGCACAGATACTGGTTTAAAACAGAATACAAATGGTTCCTTAAAGAAAACAAAATGGTCGCAAAATGTTTCCTTGCTGTGCCAGCACTCCCAGCAACCCCTGCCTAGCTGTCCTGCGAGTATTCACTTCATCTGACCCGCACCGCACGGCAGCGTCGGGAGGCGGGACCCACTGTGTAGTGTGTGGGAGTGTAGCCGTGTAGGCGTCCGTAGCTTTCCCGTAACGGGACGCCACACATCTATACCGTGCACTGCACGAGACGACCCTGCCGTCGCACCGGACCCACTGCGCACCCACCGCCCAGCGGGACCCACTCCGTCCTTGTCCCCTCACTGCCTGCGCAGAATGTCCTCGGCCCCCACCGCTCGCTGACCCCGCCTCCGGCTCCGGCGACACCGATCCCCGCCGGCGAAATGGCGGCGTGGTGCTCCGCCGAGTCCACCAAGCCGGTCTTCGTCGGGATCTACGGCGCCGTCCTCGGCGGCTTCGCGGTCTCCGCGCTCTTCTTCCTGCTCTCCTCCTCCTCCTCGCTCTCCGCGCCCACGCTCCCGCTCCCGGCCGCCGCCATCGCCGGGGCCAACCTCTCCGCGCCCACTCCCGCCCAGCCCGAGACCATGTACAACCGCCCCATCTGGAAGCCCCCGCCCCGGCGGGCGCGGATGCCCTCTCCGCGCGCGTTCCGACTCACCCGCGACATGGTCGCCGCCCGCGCCCGCGACGGCGTCATCGTCGTCACCTTCGGCAACTACGCCTTCCTCGACTTCATCCTCACCTGGGGGCGCCACCTCACCGACCTCGGCGTCGACAACCTCCTCGTCGGCGCCATGGACACCAAGCTGCTCCGGGAGCTCTACTTCCGGGGCGTGCCCGTCTTCGACATGGGCAGCAGGATGGCCACCAAGGACGCCGGGTGGGGCTCCCCCACCTTCCACAAGATGGGCAGGGAGAAGGTGCTGCTCATCAACGCGCTCCTGCCTTTCGGGTACGAGCTGCTCATGTGCGACACGGACATGGTGTGGCTCAAGAACCCATTGCCCTACCTTGCCCGATACCCCGAAGCGGATCTCCTCACGTCCAGCGATCAGGTCATACCCACCGTCACCGACGACAGCCTGGAGAACTGGAGGGAAGGTAATTATTGACCACACATATGACGTGGGTTCTGAATCTTTCTGGTTGCTACTAAGTTGCTAGTGTGTTCGTTGCCAATCTCTGTTGCGAGCAGTAGTAATCAAGCACAGATTGCATCATATTCTATTCAATCCTGAGGTTGACAACAGAGATGGTGTGATATGCACCTGAATATAGTAATCAGACCCAAAGAAGTCTTATCTTATTTGTAGCTGAAATGAACATTATGTTAGGAGGTTGAAGAGCTGCATGAGCCATTTCCCTTGTACTGCTTGTCTTGGAAGTTTGAAATGAGCTTGCATTTAAGTACAAATACACACCATTGAGCATTTTCGAAAGTTTACAGTCAATGAAGAAAGATTTTCGCTAGTGACAGCAATGTACAACTCATGTAGCTAGTTTGTGAAGTACTGAAGTATATGTGCTATGTGCATGATTATCATGTAGCAAATACCTGCAATGTAGACCTTATTGAACATACCCTCTTGCTTGGCAGTCCTGTGTACATGAAGACAACTAAGCAGCTCAGCATTCTCTTGTGTTTCGCTGGCATTATTGAGTGATGGATGCACACATTTCAAGCATGCTATAACTATAAATGTTTTTATATTTTGGTTCCTCTACTCAATGTTGTAATATTAAATTTTAATTTGGCAAACAAATTCCTGAAAGCATGAGTTATATTCAGTGTTTTCTTTGGGTAGATTTAGACCATTGATAGCTATCTTTACAATCTTTTTCTGCCCTAGGAATTTTTAAAACATAAGGTATTGGAGGTCCTTATGGACCTAGTCATATGTACCCTCGAGTCTCCATAGCCCAACAAAATGATTTCATGCTCAAATTTATTATGCTGTACTTCACCCTCATCTTTCAGGCATGTCCCTTCGACTCTTGTATCTCCTTATGTTTCTATTAAATTACCTGACTGAAGCAGGGATGCTTTGGTGGTTCCCAAGTTTTGAGCGAATTATTTTATCGTCTTCTTGAAAACTACATAACTGAAGATTCCAATGCTATGTAATTGATAACATGACAGTCAATCTCTACTATCTTATTCACAGTTACTGGTGCATTCAACATTGGTATTTTCCATTGGCGACCCACTGAACCTGCTAAAAGGCTGGCAAAAGATTGGAAAGATTTAGTCATATCTGATGATAAGTTGTGGGACCAGAATGCTTTTAATGATCTTGTACGCCAAAAATTTGGACAGCCAGTTCAAGGAGGTGATCTTGTATATTCTTATGATGGGAAACTGAAGCTGGGAGTACTACCGGCAAGTATATTTTGCAGCGGCCATACATATTTTGTGCAGGTAGGAGTATTTCTTTGTTTGTGGTTGCCAATTAGAAATTTTGCATTTGAAAACACTTTTTAGTTAGATAATAGTTGTATCTCGTTATATTTTAGTGTCCATGTAGCTCTTTGGACATTCTGTTTGCATTGTTTTGGTAGTTTTTCGCCTTGCTAGTTGTGTTCATAGTGCTCTACTGATTTGAAGGTGCTCTGTGTTTATTTTCTTTGGATTGTCAGGGCATGTATAAGCAGCTTCATTTGGAACCATACGCAGTTCATACTACTTTTCAGTATGCGGGTACTGAAGGAAAGCGCCATAGATTGCGAGAGGCAGTGCTTTTCTTTGATCAACCATCTTATTATGATTCTCCAGGTCTATTCACTGTCTATACCTGTCACAAGCAAACTGTACTCTACTGTCTTGAGCAGAGATTCGTGCTTATTCTGACTGGTTTATTCAAGTGCCTTGAAAGTAGAAATGGACTCTGTACTAGTAGTACTCTTAATCTCTTATAGTTTCTTCTTTTTACCATTTTATTAGTGTTTCTGTACTTAGTTTACTGTCCTGTTGCAGGAGGTTTCCTGTCATTTAAACCTAACATTCCAAAAAGTTTGCTATTAGATGGTGCTCATACTGTTGAATCTCATTTTGAGTTGGTTAATTATGAGGTATCTTCTTCTATATATATTCGATCAAATTACCGGTTGTATGTCTATTATTAATGTTTGCATGTTCTTTTAATCTAATTAGTTGCATGAAACTTTTCAGCTGAAGCAAATAAGAACTGCACTTGCAGTCGCGTCCTTGTTAAAGCGGACACTGGTAGGTGAAATGTCTCTTTTCTATACTTGTTTTCTTCATGCTTCATGTTTTCCTTCGGTTCAGCTGTTTTCTAGTTTAAATTGAAATGATTCACTTGCATGATTGTGGGGGTAAATGGACATACCTTCAGGTGGAAGCATCTGACTGAACTTGATTTGCCCATGTTCCATTGACATAATTAATTTGGTCTCTTTCTAAAAGTCTTACTTGCCTGATCTCAAAGATTACTATTATGTTCTTACCTTTTGAGATATTGTGCGCCGTCTCTCCTTAATTAATACAAATTTCTCAATTCCGTTTACCAGCAAAATTTCCATATGAGCAAGGTAGAGCCTTAGAAGTACTATGGTGATAAATTAGATGTTAACATTTGTTTACACTAAATGCTTGCTCACAGTTCAGTACAAGACAGAATCATCATTTTTTTAGGTTCTACTGCTTTTGGAGGTAGTAGATACTCCCTCCGTTTCAAATTGTAAGTCATTCTGGCTTTTTTAGATACCTAGATTTTACTATGTATCTAGACCATAATGGATATCTAGGTGCATAGAAAAAGCTATGTACCTAGAAAATCCAGAACGACATAATTTGGAATGGAAGGGAGTAAGATTTTTGAAGTATTATCTAGCTTTTTGTTGTGTTCATACATGTTAAAGCCCCTTTTCTGACTGCAGTTTGTACTTTTAGGTAATGCCTCCATTATGGTGCAGGCTTGATAGAATGTGGTTTGGACATCCTGGAATTTTAGAAGGAACAATGACCAGACAACCTTTTCTCTGCCCGATGGATCATGTGTTTGAGGTAATTCTGTAATGAAAACTTTCCTTTTGTAATAGAGGCTATTGTTTTTCTATAAAACCTGATATCCATACTGCCACCTTAGCTTCAAATAACAGGTCACTTCACCCCATGGGTTGGTTCTGTAGTTGGTTAGTGGCGTTGCCAATCCATATCGCCCCTCCCCTCTACTACCCTCTTAAACTTGGCCTTGAGCCCAATCAAAATGGCCCTTATAGAGGGTCTGAAGAGAATAGTTAGCTGATATTTGTAAATCAGTTATGAATCAAATTTCCTTATAATTTCATGGGTCATGGCACAGGTTCATGTTATGCTAAAGGACTTGCCCAAGGAAGAGTTTGGTCCACATATTGATTTCAGAGAGTACTCCTTTCTTGAGAATCCATCATTACCTAAAGAGGTAATATCAAGTGATTTGCTATTTTTTTTTATATTTCACCTTGAATGCTTGGCAACAAGAGATGTGAGCTTGTGTCCTAATTGTTTTGATTTGGAGTGTTCAATTAGGTGAAAGATTCGTTACTCGATGTTCAACTCTGTGATGAGCATAGCTCCAGATGCTCTGCAGTTGATGAAACCGATAAGCACAGACCCTTTCTTTTACCAAGAAATAGTACTGAAGAAAAGGTAAATTATTATTTCTTTCGTGCAGGATGTGGTTTCAGTTTAGTCCAAAGTACAACAGTCTAAGCTGAGGAATATAACATTTTATTCAAACTCGGAAATACTATTGTATTTTGAAGCTAGGAAATTTTGCTCTGTTCTTTGTACATATGCTGAAATTGTGCCTTTTCTCCCTTTTTTAATAGCTGTTGGATTTGCTGTCACCATATAAGGATGTCAAAATCATACAATTCTCATCTATGGTTGATGCCTTCGGTGGTTTTGCTGATGCAGTAAGCTGTTATACTCTTATACATGTTGCCTAATTTTCTGGATAAAAGTTTCCACCTTTGACGCAAATTACTGAAACCAGGCTGTGGAGAAGAAGTTCCGGAATCGTGTGAAGAGGTATGTGGGCCTATGGTGCTGTGTAGAGTTCCGTGAAATTGGTCACATATATTATGACATGTACTGGGACGAGAAACCAGGGTGGAAGCCACACCCTCCAGAGACTAGGGAACAGGACCATCCACCTTGGTCATGACTGCCGACAAGAAGGTGCAAGAAAGATTGTAATGATGAAGATCTGAGATCTTGTAACCAAAGCAAGATAGATTACATGCTACAGGTTTACCTGGGTTTCCGGAGCAGCCTGCTCCTTTTTGTTGGTGGTCACGATTCTTCAGGCCAATTTTGTGCTTCGTAGAAAAATGTTGACCGGCTTTGTAGTTCCTGTTCTTCCATAGAGTGATTCACCTTTGGACTAGTGGCAGCCCCTTGTTCGCACGCAGCTCATCGGTTGAAGCTTGGGGCTTAATGATTTAGTTGGAGGCAACATTTAGATCATGACTTAGCTCCCCTTTCTTTAGTTTTTGCATCATGTTCATAGTTGATACAGGCATCAGCTCCAAAGGAGAAAAGGCCATTGTTGTTAAATGTTGTGGAAAACTCGGCTGTCAGCTGCTGCAGTAGGAAGCTGTTGAGCTACTTATCTGGCTGCTGATACATAGGCATCTCTCGTAACAGTTGTGCAAAACTTTGCTTAATTTTTCTTACATGGTCAATCAGAACAGATTTTTGACCCTTTTTCTTACAATATGTTTACATTTGCTAAAAAAATCAATATTATCGTAGAGGCAGTTTTGAATACAAATGTATTGATGTAAATTTCATGTTGTAGTTTTATAAATTTAATTTTTTCCTGTAGAAATATGATTACCATTCCGAGATGACAGATAACTTGGCCAGGCTGCTTGCAGCTGAAGCGAGCCCCGCGCGTCGGCACTGTTGCTCTGGATTACGGATCCCCCACGTGCATTCCATTCCACAGATACCCAGGGGGAACCTGGTTGGTGGAAGGCATAGCCTTGCACAGTTTACATCCAGGGATTACAAGTTCTGGAAGAGGGGTGTTTAGATTACATACAAAGTGCTAATCTCCAGCTGTTGCCATTGCTTCTTCTTTTCTCGGGATGCGGCAGCTCCAGTTCTTGATGGATTCCTTGCAAGCTGAGATGAGGCAGGCGACGTCGGGTGGCATTCCACGGAAGACCACATCATTCCTGTGTTTCCAAATTTTTCCAACACAAGAGCGGGGGGTTCCAGAACTCGTTGACCTTGCCGATGTTGCCTGGCAGCCATCCGATGGCTGTCCACAAGGTTTGGATGAACTTCAGAGAAGATGTGGTCTGCCGCCGCCTTGCAGATTTCACATGTTGCGTCATCAAGGATGTTCTTGCGGGCCAGGGCTTGATGGCAGTGTATCCTGCTCTTCGTGAGGAGCCATCCAAAGAACTTGACGCGTGGCGGGGCGAAGCTTTTCCAGACGAAGTTGTAGGAGGCGCAGTCGTGGTCACCGCGCGTCGAGGCCTTGTAGATGAGCCCCGACCGAGCCGGTGCCCTCCGTCTTCGAAGAAGGACGAGCGCTCGTCCGGCTCCAAGCTAAGCGTGACCTCCGGGAGCATTTCGGAGAGTTGATCGAGCTCAACCAACGCTTGAGGTGTGAGCTGGCGCTGGAACAAGCCGTGCAAGCTCACGCGCACGACGTCGCACACAGATGTAGCGCGGGCGACGTAGTGGCTGAAGAGGGCTGGGAACCGTGCGGCCAGCGGCGCATCGCCCAGCCAGTAGCCTTTCCAGAAGTCCGTGTTGCGCCCATCTCCGATCGACACCTTGGTGATTTGCTGGTAGGCTGGGAGCAGGTCCCGGAGCGCCGCCCAGTGCGTGCCGTGGAGCGCGCCGCTCAGGTCCACCAGGTTGGTGTGCTCCGCGGCCCAGAGCCCCCAGGCTGAGCCGTCCGAGCGGTGGAGTCGGTGAAGAAGTTTGAGCAACAGGCAGGCGTTCTGGGTGTCAATGCGCTTGATTCCCAACCCGCCGTCTTCCTTGTCTTTGCAAACGTCCTCCCAGGCAATGAGGCATTGTGCTCCGGAGGTCGTATCCGTGCCCGTCCATAGGAACGCACGCCGGCGTGCGTCTAGAGCTTTGATGACACCCGGCGGGAGCACCATGGCGCCTATGGCATATGTCGGCAGGCCTCCCAACACGGCGTTGATCAGCACACCCTGCCGGCAGTGCTCAGGAGGAGAGCTTTCCAGCTGGCGAGGTACCTGTCCACCTTGGCGATGAGCAGGGCGAAGGCCGAGAGCGGCAGCTTGACATTGGAGAGGGGGAGCCCCAGGTAGGTTTGGGGGAATTTCCCCTCTCTGCATTGTAGAATTTGCATGAAGGACTGTAGGTCGTCAGGGGGACGTGCATCGGCGTGGTCATGCTCTTGCCGAAGTTGATCACCAGCCCTGTGCTTGCCGAGAAGCTGTCCAAGGCGAGCTTCAGGCGCTGGACACTCTCCATGTCAGCGCGGAGGAGAATGATGGTGTCGTTAGCGTACTGGAGCACGGGGGCAGTGCCATCGGTCAGCGGGTGCTTGATCGTCACGTCTGCTTTGATCATGGTTTGCAGGACGTCCGTGACGAGCAGAAGAGGTACGGCGACACGTCCCCTTGTCGAAGCCCTCTCTTGCAAAGTTATCCATGGCCCGGGACTCTGCTCAGACCATCATGGATTTGATGTGACCAGAGCCGACGCATCCAAATCCACCACTTGTCAGGGAAGCCGCACGCCTCCAAGATTTTGAGCAGGCTTTCCCAGTTCACCGAGTCAAAGGCCTTCGCGAAGTCTAGCTTGATCACTAGAGTAGGCGCTTTCGGCGCCAGGCAACATTGGACCAGCTCGGTGGTGAGGACGAAATTCTCGGCGATGGAGCGCCCCTTGATGAAGCCAGTCTGGTCCGTATCCATGAGCTTGGCGATCTACAGCTGCAATCTAGAGGTTAGGATCTTGGTCAGGATCTTGACAGGGCAGTTTTGCAGCGAGACCGGGCGAAACGCGGCTGGCGAGGTGGCTGCCTCCGTCTTGGGATCAAGACAATGACTGCCCTGTTGATGCGCTAAAGGTCGGCCTCGCCACGGTGGAAGGCTTGCAAGATGGGCATGATGTTGCCTTTGACGGCCGCCCAGGCCGCCGAGTAGAAGCCGGGCCCAATGCCATCAGGGCCGGGCGAACTATCCACCGACATGGCGCGCACCGCTCGGAATGCGTCTTGTTCGGAGAAGGGGCGATGAGCGGCGTCGGGTTGGTCTGCTGGCACCGCACCGCATACAGCTGGTCGGTCGAGGTCGTAGCTCGTGTCGTGGCCACCTCACCGCCTAGGATGTCGGTGTAGTAAGCGGTGAGCACGACCATCTTGGCGTCGTGGCTGATCCGCTGCACGCCGTCCACCTCCAGAGCGTGGATGGCGTTCCGGCGTGCTCTGTAGGAGGCCCTGGCGTGGAAGAACTTTGTGTTGGCGTCGCCTTCTTAGAGGGCCCTGAATTTACCTCGCTGCTTCCAGTATGCAGCCCGCTGGGCAATGAGCAAGGCAAGCCGGTCCCGGCATAGCTCACGCGGTCGCCGCTCACCTGTGGACAGTACCATGGACTCCTCATAGATGTCCAAGAGCAACACAATAAAGGAAGCATTGTTATAGTCGTCGGGGCGGGCGCGGTGGGTCTTAGACCAGGCCTTGGTGCCATGGCGAAGGGCCTTGATCCGCCCCACCAGACCGCCAGTAGCGTCCGACGGCACGAAAGCTCTAGACCAGACCAGGAGGCTGGAAGGGAGGAAGGTGGGGTGTTTAAGCCAAGCGTTTTCAAAGCGGAAGCCGAAGGACTTGGGTGTGGAGGTGGGTGCTGTGAGGATTAGAGGGACGTGGTCCGAGGTCGAGCCAAGGCGAGAGTTGAGGTTGGAGTTGGGGAAGAGTTGGGCGAACCCCCCATTGATGAAGGCGCGGTCCAGCCTGGCCAAGGTTGGTGTAGCCCGTTTATTAGACCAGGTGTACAGCCGGTCTAGGAGGGGGACCTCGATGAGGGCGAGGCTATCGATCGCCGTGTTAAACCTTGCAGCCAGTCTCTGATCAAAGTTAGCGTTGTTCTTGTCCGCAGGGGATTGGGTGAGGTTGAAGTCCCCAATGAGGAGCCAGTTGGTGCCACTGGGGGCGACATGGCGCCGAGATCCACTAGGAAGGCGTCCGTGTCCCTGTGATCCGAGGGGGCGTAGACATTGGTGATGGAGAAGGTTTAAGCGGAGGTAGTGGACGTGAACGGAATGATGATGGAGTAGGTGGTCTGGGTCAGGGTGCCCGCCGTGACGACCCCGGTGTCCCAGGCGTTGAGGATGCCCCCCTGGATCCGTCAGCGGGAACGAAGTCGAAGCCGGTGAGGTAGGGGGGAAGGAAGGATTTGCATTTGTGGGAGTCAATGACGTTGAGCTTGGACTCCTGCAAGCAAACGATGTGGGGATGAGAGATGGAGATGGTGTCCCGCACCGCATCGCACGATTGTCCTGGCGTCCCAGGCCCCGGACATTCTAGGACATGATAGAGTAGACGAAGCGATTCTGATTCATGGGAGAACGAGTACAACTCCTGATGGATTACATCGACACGAAGCTAAGGAGGTAAGACTGACTCCAACGACGCCACCTAAACCCAAAAATAAGTCGCGCACAGTAGATTTGCCTATCAGATACCGGTTCCAACGGATGACCCATCCACGGTACACATTCTGGGTAGCAGGCCGAAGGAAACGCAAAAAAGCGTCGCCTCTCTCCTCGCTACGCAAATCTGCGACGGTGGAGCTCGCCCGCGGAAGCGAGGAATGGCCGAGCTTCCCTTCCCTGTCGGCACACGCGTCGCCGCTGGGAGCACCACCTCGCCCACCGCTCGCCTCAAGACAAGCCGAGCCGGCGTAGCCTTGGGCCTTGCCGCCGTCGGGAACTCAAGCTCAAGCTCACGGCACATCTCTCACCGAACCGGCTGAGCGCCGCCGACGCGCCGTCTCCGTCGTGGCTCTGCTTTCGGAGATGCACTTTGCTCCAGCCACACCGCCCCGCAGCTGAGCTCCGTCCTGCACTGCTAGAGCCCGCTTGTTGTCCAGCCAGCTCCGCCAAGCTTGCCGTGTCGGCACCGCACGAGAGCCGAGCGTCGAGGCTGCCGTCGCCGCCGTGCTCGCCTGCTCCATCCCTCCTCCTCTACTTCACATCAGTACCAAGGAGATGAGTTCTTCCAGTACCAAGTAGTACTACTAGTTCTACTTCTACTTTAGCAGTAGGAGGCCGTTGTTTGCTGCGATTTTGATTGATTGAGGATGGGAATCGTATGCCTCGGTGCTTCCTCCACGCTGCTCTGCGAGGAGGACAGAGCAACGCAGACTCGGCCTCGTCGGTCGCCGCGACGAGCTGGTGGAGGTGGGGAGCGGCCTTGATGGCTTGGACTCCGCCGCCGGCGCCGTATTCCCGTGGACACCGTCACCGATGAGGCTGTGTCGGCGTTGGTGGCGAAGGAGGTCCTGGCCGCCGCGCCGTCGCCGTCGTGCAAGGTGCGGAGCGTGGGCTCTGCCGCGCCGTCGCTTCGGGATGGGTTCTGCCTTTTGCGTCGCTGTTGGAGAGAGCTGAGTTTATGGATGCGTGACTTTTTCCTGTGCGTAACCCAAAATCGTGAATGGGTGTCGTATTTAGGTCTCCATGGTTGGAGACAGTCTAAAGGGCCCCGTGGGGGAGACACAAAGGCAGTCACCTTCACGACGCAGCCGGAGCGGGTGGAGAAAATGTCCTGCACGCTGACAGGCCAGGCACTACCGGTGACTCGGTTGGGGGCGTGGTGCATGGTGCGGCGGCTCTGGATTCCAATTACCGTGACCTGGTCAATGACATGCAGGCCACGGGGCGAGGGACCTCCGTGTCAGTGACACAAGCCATGGCGTGCACTTACGGGTTACGGCTGAGGCAGGGTTAGTGACTGTGACCATTGTCGTTGGCGAGAGCGACGAGAGTGGGGATGTGCGTCCGCCGTCCATTCGTCCGATGGGCGGGGGCACAGCCGGAAAGTGACGTACATCGTACATGCACTGCTCCAGGTCATGCTTTGGTCGCAAAAGTCCACTCCTGTCTCGATCCTTCGCCGTGCGGCGGCCGCCGGCCGGAGGCCGCCTAGCACGAGTCGAAGAGAAGACTCAACGATGGCGTCGTCACCACAACGGCAATCATCTGGCATCTTCGTCGTGCTATAAGTAGTAGCTGTTGTTACATTCCAAGCTCCAAAGCAGCGGCCTGCCATGGCGATCACTCCAGCGACCATGCTCCTCCTCCACCTGCTGCTGCTGCTGTCCTTCTCATCTGTGCCCATTTCCCTGGCGCTCGCGCCAGCGGGAGCCGAGAGTGAGGACACCGCGGCTCTGCTCGCCTTCAAGGCCGCGGCCGTAGGCAGCAGCAGCAGCAGCACTAGTGGCGACCGCGGCGCTATGCTCGCGTCGTGGAACGGCAGCGTCGCCGCCAGTCCGTGCACCTGGGACGGCGTCACTTGCGGCCGCCGCGGACGTGTGGTGGCGCTGAGGCTGCCCTCCCTCGGGCTCGCCGGGACGCTCTCGCCGGCCGTCGGCAACCTGTCGTCGCTGCGGGCGCTGAACCTGAGCTCCAACTGGCTGCGCGGCGAGATCCCCGCGAGCCTGGGCCGCCTGCGCCGCCTCCGGACGCTCGACCTCAGCGTGAACACCTTGTCCGGCGCGGTCCCGGGCAACCTCACCGCCTGCACCAGCCTGACAGTCCTGCGCCTCGCCAGCAACAAGCTCACCGGCCACGTCCCGGCCGAGCTCGGCGGCGCGCTGGCGCGGCTCGAGGTGCTGGCGCTAACCAACAACACCCTCACGGGCCGCCTCCCGGCGTCGCTGGCCAACCTGACGTCGCTGCGTCAGCTCGGCCTCGGGATCAACGGCTTCGAGGGCCCGATACCTCCCGAGCTCGGCCGCAGCATGGCGCGCCTCGAGTACGTCGACCTCTGCGACAACCGCCTGCGCGGCGAGCTCCCGCCGTCGCTGTACAACGTGTCGTCGCTGGCGAGCCTCGACGTCGGACAGAACACGCTGCACGGAGGCATCCCTGCCGAGATCCACGCGCAGCTCCCTCAGTTGAAGTTTCTGGCGTTGTTCGAAAACCAGTTCAGTGGGGCGATCCCTTCCTCCATCTGCAATCTCACTCAGCTCGGAGAACTCGAGCTGTCGAGCAACGGATTCAGCGGCTTCGTGCCTCGCGATCTTGGGAGGCTGCAGTATCTGTGGAATCTGCAACTGGACGGTAACATGCTTGAAGCAGGGAAGAAGATGGAAGGTGGGAGTTCATCGAGTCATTGGCCAACTGCAGCGAGCTAGAGGTTTTAGATCTGGGTGACAACAATTTCACTGGAGATCTTCCTGTTTCAGTTGCTAACCTCTCGAAAACACTTGAGTACCTTTACCTAGAAGACCTTGGGATCTCTGGCAGCATCCCCTCAGAGATCGGAAATCTGGTCGGTCTCAAAGTACTTATTCTGGTGAATACTGACATCTCAGGAGTAATTCCAGATAGCATTGGGAAGCTGGTGAACCTGACGGAGCTACACCTGGACAACAATAATCTGTCGGGCCTTGTTCCATCATCAGTGGGAAATCTCACCAGGCTCCTTAAACTATTGGCGAGCAGCAACAACCTGGGAGGATCAATCCCAAGGAGTCTTGGAAAGCTTAGCGACCTCATCAGTCTTGATCTTTCAAGCAATTACCTGAACGGTTCGATTCCTGAAGAAATATTCCAACTGCAGTCTCTTTCGTTGCTCCTGAACTTATCACAAAACTCCCTCTCCGGGCCACTTCCTTTCGACGTTGGAAGGTTGGCTAACCTCAACACGTTGAGCTTGTCAGGAAACCAGTTGTCTGGCCAGATACCGACAACGATCAGAAATTGCATAGTTCTGGAGGTACTCTTACTGGACAGTAACTCGTTCCAGGGAAGCATACCTCAGCCTCTAGGTGACATCAAGGGTCTCCGCGTGTTGAACCTGACCATGAACAGGTTTTCTGGTGTGATCCCTGATGCCCTTGGTGACATACACAGCCTGCAGCAGCTGTATCTAGCACACAACAACTTGTCCGGGCTCATCCCAACTGATCTGCAGAACCTGACATCGCTATCTAAGCTGGATTTGTCCTTCAATGATCTGCAAGGTGAAGTGCCGAAAGAAGGTTCCTTTAGAAACTTGTCTTACTTATCGATTGCTGGAAACAAAAACCTTTGTGGTGGAATACCTCAGCTTCGCTTAGATCCATGCCCCATGTCTGTTGTGAGAAAGAACAACAAGAGTAAGAGGGGGTTGAAGTATGATAAAATAGCTCTGGCAACAATGGGTGCACTCTTGTTCTTATCATTATTTACTGCAGTTATTCAGTTCATCTACAAAAACTCTAAGCAAAGACAGAAGAGAAGCCATCCCCTAGCCCCAGTAATAAGTGGAGAACAATACGAAAGGGTTTCTTACAAGGAACTGTCAGACGGAACAAGGGGATTTTCAGATGCCAATTTGCTTGGAAAAGGCAGCTATGGCACAGTCTACAAATGCGCTTTCATTGATGAGGGAACTATAGCCGCCGTAAAGGTGTTCAACCTTGAACAGTCTGGATCCACAAGAAGCTTCTTGGCTGAATGCGAGGCACTCCGAAGCGTGCGCCACCGTTGTCTCATAAAGATCATCACGTGCTGCTCAAGCATCGATCGCCAAGGCCAAGAGTTCAAAGCTTTGGTATTCGAGTTTATGCCCAACGGTAACTTGAGTTCTTGGCTTCATCCAAAATCTAATGAGCCCAAGAACACGCTAAGCCTAACCCAAAGGTTAGACATTGCTGTCGACATAATGGATGCCCTGGACTATCTTCATAACCATTGTCGGCCACCGATCGTCCACTGCGATCTCAAGCCAAGCAACATTCTTCTCGCCGAAGACATGAGTGCTCGTGTTGGAGATTTCGGCATATCCAGAATCTTGTCTGAAAGTGCGTGCAAAGCCTATCCAAATTCAAACAGCGTAGCTGGGATAAGAGGCTCCGTTGGCTACGTCGCTCCAGGTAACTGATCAACTGAAACTGCTGTCTTTTGTTTTGCTGCTTATTTCTTACAGTATTATCTTTTCATCTTGGACAACTTTGACATGATGATCGATCTGACTGGCTTACAAAATATTTGCAGAGTACGGGGAAGGCTGTGCGGTCTCCATCCTCGGTGACGTTTACAGCCTAGGCATATTGCTGCTTGAGATGTTCACAGGACGGAGCCCCACGGATGATGTGTTCGGAGACTCGTTGGACCTCCACAGGTTTTCAGAGGCTGGTTTTCCTGACAGGATATTGGAGATAGCGGACCCGAATCTATGGGTACACCCTGACGCCGACGACAACAGCATCACAAGAAATAGGATTCAGGAGTGTTTGCTTACGGTCATTCGGCTCGGTTTGTCCTGCTCAAAACACCAGCCCAAAGAGCGGATGCCGATACGGGATGCAGCCATGGAGATGCGCGCGATCAGAGATGAGGCATACCTGATGTTCGCCGGTTCTCTGGTGGTGAACATGGAAGAGAAAATGGGAGGAGCAGCTGTGTAAACAAATCACTTCTGAAATGATACAAGCTTCAAATTGTGTATGGATTTCATATTAGAGCTGGATCGATTTGCCAAACAGGCCCTAAAGCTCCGGCTTAAAAAATACTCCCTTCTTTCCAAATTATAAGTCGCTTTGACTTGATATATATATTTTGCTATGTATATAGACATACGTTATATCTAAATACATAACGAAACTGATGTACCAGATGTATTCAATTTTGGGCTTTCCATTGATTTAGGTGTGATTTGACCTAGGCCCCCGCGTCGTCCTCTACAGGCGACTCGGGCGGCGGCGCCTCCGCCCACCACAAGCTCTCCCGTGCGCTGCAACTGCCCGGCCGCCGCCAGAGCTGGACGCCGGCAAACCGGAGAAAGGCAAGGACGGCAGTGGCTAGGCCCTCTGCTCTTCTTCCCCACCCCTCTCTCTCTCCTTGTGGCCGGAGAAACACCCGTGACTGCACAGGGCGGCGGCTACCGGCAGTTCTCGGCCTAGGGAGCACGTACGGATCCGTCGTCCTCTTGACTGGATCCGGTGTCCTCTTGGCCGGATCCGTCGCCCTCGCGCCAGGAGGGCAAGCGGGGCGGCCGGGGCTGCTGCGGTGGATGGCTGCGGCCGGGCCTGTTCGGCTCGCGCGCCCGTGGCGGCCGACAGCAGCCGGCCATGCCTGTCTGGCTACGGTTTCGGCTCTTCCAGCTTGGGATGTGGCGGTGGACCTCTTGGTGGCGGGTGGTGGTGCGGGTGCGGCCGGCGGTGTGTGCTGTGTGGTGCGCGGGCTGCCGCGCGTCTCGGCATGCTGCACCCTGCTCCCGGACTTTCGTAGGGCTGCGGTGCTCAGCCCCGTGGAGGGCTAGGGAGCAGGCGTACAGACGGTGACAGATCGGTGCGGAGGCTGCTGTAGTCCCTGTGCGGCGTGGGCTTGGCAGGGGTTGGGATGTTGGTGGGCTGGACGACTGGGCTTCTTCTGATCCCGCCCCTCTTCTCCTCGTCATCTGCCTTCCCCCTTCTCGGGCTAATCCCGTGGCGGAGTTGGTCGGAGCTGCCTGCTGCTGGCTGGTTTTTGCCGATTCCGGCGGGGGTGGACTCTTCGTCGGGCTTCTCCCGGCGCTTCTCTTGGTCGGCGTTCCTTTAAGCGACGTCCCGGGGGAGCTGCTGCTGATCTCTCGACGCATCCTACCTCTTTGGTAGGGTTGGGTCTCCGGCGGCGTGGAGGCTGCATGAGGTCGGGGCGAAAGCTTGACGACGGCGTCCGTGGACGCCATTTGCCTTCTTGAAGGCGTCCTTTTGTACCTCTCCTCCTGTCGTGCTGAATTTTGCAGGTGAAAACCTTCCCTTATTAGACTAGCCTGTTTGGTAGCGGCCGAAGCCTGCCACCACAGCAGCGTCCCCACCACAGTTTGTGGCGAGCTTTTTGGCCGCCACACCCGCCACGGAATAGTGCATGCAGAAACTGTGGCGGCCGCATCGGCCATTTGTATGTGGCTGCCGAACTTTAGGCGAGGCGAAACATGGCTGGGAAGCAAACCGACGGCAGCGCAGCGCGGCACAGGCCCCGGGGCCGGGTCCGTTGCGTTGGGCGCCTGACTTGCCGGTGGCAGTCTGGCAGAGCGAGTCAAAACCGGCGCGGCGCGGGGGTCCATCCCGCGCGCGCGCCGCGGCGGAATCTTCTTCTCGCCCACGCCGCCCGCGACAGTGAGCTAGTAGTAACTGCCCTATCCCCGGCCCGCCTGACCGGCCGAATTAACGGCGTGCTGGACCCATGAACATCTGTAGAAGCGTGCATATCGCACGTACAGGTACAGTACTGTTGTGATCTGCCGCCGGTCAGAGGCGGTGTCAGAGGTGTCTCCTGACGCCGCCTGTCTCCGCGCGATTTGCATCCCGCGCGCCGGGCGGCCGGGCCTCCGGCCTGCCCCATCATCATCAGTGCATCCAGTGATGACACACTGATTGATGAGGGCCACGTTTAGTTGGTGCACCAACTCGGCGCCGCCAGATTCTGCGGTCACTGTAGCTACAGTAGCTTGTTCGTTTTTATTTGGTAATAATTGTCCAAACTTTGATTAATTAGGCTCAAAACGTTCATCTCGTAAAGTACAACCAAACTGTGTAATTAGTTTTTGATTTCGTCAACATTTAGTACTCCATGCATGTACCATAAGTTTGATATGACGGGAAATTTTCTTTTTGCATAGTGCCAAATTTTGGAATTTGGGAGAACTAAACAGGCCCGAGATCTCGATCTCCTCCCCAGCGCTCTGGTAGTGGTAGCTATAGCTAGGTACGGCAGCTAGGTGCAGGACGTAGGCTATATTGGCCCGTTCGCTGGTCTAAACTTTGGCTGAAATTGACTGAAAAATATTCTGTTTGAATTGTTGTGAGAGAAAAACACTGTTCCGATTAAAAAAAATAAACCGAACAAGCTAAATTTAAGACAAGCGAACCAGACCATTATTATGAGCCTGTAGCCTTGTACTGTTACTCTTCCTATACTCCTGCTGACACGATGTCATCTTCTTACCTTAACAAGACCGGAGATACTAGCGGCCTACTGCCGCGTCTGCACTTGCCTGCGCTGCACTCTGGAGGTGAATTTACTCGGGGGCCCTTGTGGCTGCAGCAGTGCGGGGCAGCCGGGCAGGAACGAACAGCGATTCCGATCAAGGCCGGCTGGCCAATATGGACTTATGAAGATCTGGGACTAATAAGTTGCCGTCGTCCTGCAGGCAGAGGCGCAGAGCGCGTTGGAGGCCAATAGAGGCCGATGCTGCTCGAGCCAGCCAGCTTAGCTGCTGAGGTGGTGGTCCGTGGTCATGAGTGTTAGGTTGTTCTCCACTAAGTTGGTCCAACGATCAATTGGCTCCTTGATCTATACTCTGATCGGGGGCGTTCAGCCGTTCTTATGGCTGATGGGTTCCCGTCGCGCAGCGCAATAAATAGGAGGTGAGAGTTGGAGCTCGAGTCACGAGGTTCACCGCAGCCGCACAGTGCCCCACCATATCCTAACCCTAGTCCGATCGAGAAAGGCGCGCTGTAAGCGACGGGAAGCGCCATCGCCTTCGCCGCCGCCATTAGACCGGGTTTGCGCTGCTACTACTTCGTCGCCGGCGCCATGGCTGCGACTGGAGACTCGAGGTGAGGTACATCACCAGGTCTCCTATCTAAGTTAAGCAATTTACCCACTGATCTGCGCCTAGAGGTTCCAGAAATAACTATCAGTGGTACCAGAGCCATGATTTCTAGTGTGTAGATCTAGATCGGGGTAGAAAAGTGAAAAGAAATTAGAATGAGATGAAATATTTCAAGTTTCCCAAACCCTAACCATAGATCATAGAACGGAGAGGCGGAAGGGAGCTACCTGGGTTCTTTCCCCACCGTCACCGCCGCCGGTCGTCACCTCGACGCCGTGCGGGAAGTCACCCCGAGGCGTCGCAGGCGTGAGGAGAAACAGTCTAACCTAACCCTAACCCTAGAAGGGGAAAGGACGGAAAGGGGAGAAACTCACCAGGGCTACTCCACCACTGTTGACACCGCCGCGCGCAGGAAGAAGGACCCTCCGCGCGCCTCGCCGGCACGCGGGAAGGAAGCGCCGCGCGCGCGAGCACCGGCTAGGGTACCGTCACAGGATCGTTCGACGATGGCGCGCTCACCCACTGGGGAGCACCTGCTCCATTGAGGGGGCCCGCGGCGACGCCGCACTCTCCTCCTCCAGCTGCCTTGCGCGGCCACCGTTACCGTCGTCTTCGGACACCGTCCGTGAGAGTGAAAAGAAAGGGGGAGGAGAAAGTGAAGTTAGGGTTTTAGGGAGCTCCACAGGCTCGGGGGTAAAGGGCGTCGCCATAAGGCCGCTCGATGGCGGCGCACTCACCCTCGGGCGAGCAAGCGCGCTGACGAGGGCCCAGCAGCAGCGCCGCCACCTCTTCCTCCAGCCGCCATGGGGGACCGCCGCAGTCGCCGCTCTCCGTCTCGGCACTGAGGAGAGGAGAGGGAGGGAGAATGACGAATGGACCTAGGGTTTCCAAAAGAGCGGCTGCGGCGCGGTTTTTGTTTGGGCGAGACACGCGTACGACCATCGGATCGGATCCAACGGCTGACGGAGGACGCGCCAGATTTGGCCCAGGCGGGGCAGTGGATTCCCGGCCCAGGCCCATGTTGCGGCCTGGGCACGGGGGAGCGGGCGCGCGCGCGGGGTGAAGCAGGCCGCTGGGCCGTGCTTTCGCGCGTTGGGCCTCAAGTGCGCACGCGCTGGCGAGATGGGCCGCGGGCCGAATTTTCTTGGTTGGGCCAAAATGAGCAGAGTAAATAGTTTTTAGTTTTATTATTTTTCAGAAGCAGTTTTGATGAAATTTGTTAAGTTTTGATATTAAATCTCTGTCAAAATTTGAACCAACAGGATAATTTTTCAGAGAGTAGATGAGTAAAGTAAAATGCTTCTAAAAAGTAGATAAATAATTTTTTCATGTTTCCGCTGTAAAGTTTAATCTTGATTATCTTCTATTTAAATTTGAATCAACGGGAGAATTTAATTTGAAGAGCAGTTATATTTAGTAAATTATGATTATGTTTATCCTCTAATTAAATTGGAACCAACGAAAAAATTTAAATTAGAGGAGTAGTCCGTTTTATTTAAGTAAGATTATGGTTTTGTTATTTTCTGACAAACGTTGATGATGACAATATTATAATAAATTTAAGTTTGAAGTTTAAATCTCTGATAAATTTTACACCAACGTGGTCAATTTTTTAGAGAGTAGATAATGACCAAGAAATGCTCCTGAACTAAATGAATGTATTTTATTATGATGTTTCCGCTGCAATAATATTGATTATCTTCTAATTAAATTCGAACCAACGGAAGAATTTAATTTTAAAGAGTAGTTATGTCTTTCAAGTTAATTTATGAGTTTTATGCATTAATTTTATTTTTTGTCCAACGGTGATGTAGAATTAATGCAGAAGCATCTTGTAAGTTTTATTTATTTAACCGACGAGATCACTCG